TCTTCTTTTTTGAACTTTTTTCTCATAAGATATTAGTTTGTTGTTCGGAATTAATAGGTTTGAATTTATTGTGGATGATTCGTCAAAACACAAAGTTTCTGTTAGCCAAATCATACTGAGCAAATAAATAGATTCTATAAGAAAATGTTTTAGTTTGTCAATATTGTTAATTATACTTCTTATATTTATGCGTAATACACATTGTGTATCGCTGTAAAGTTATTACTTAATGGTTTTAATTCATTTTAAAAGTTCCAATTCATAAAACCGAATTAAAATTATTTTCATTAAGAAAATGCAAATCTGGATCGTAAGAGTTATTATGTAAAAAGTCAATAGCCGATTTGAAAACATTAAAGTGTTGCCATTCGTAATCTTGTTTGTTTGTTTAGCCATTAAGCCATTAAGTTAAGAGTCATAACTTAAAAACCATTAGTTAACTTTTCTTCGATCGCTTAAACTTAAGTAAATCTTTTTCTTAATTATACGCAAAAATTTTCTTATTTTCTAAATTCGCGACAAAAAACTTTTATTAAATTTAATCGTTGAGTATTTACCTCAGTTGCAAAGATTTTTAATTTCCTAATGTGTCTTTCTCTCTTTCATAGTCTCTTTAGCAAAGTCTACATTTACATATATTCCACTTCCTTTTAGGTTTTTAAGTGAATTTAAAATTTTAGTTTTATCTTGTTAGTTTAATAAACATTTTATTGGAACATCTTTGTAATTAACATTTTTTTAAATTTCATTTTGGTATTTTTAGAGTAAATGCTAATGAATGTAGGGGAGACCGGGGAGGTATTGAACAGTTTTTACTTTAACTGGGCTTATTTAATAATTATTGAATGTTTTCAAAGTAACATATTTTTTTTTGTCAAACTACAATAATATCTTAAGGTATCTTTTAACATTTTAACTTTCTTTATATTTCTTGATTTTCAATGTTTAAAAGTTATTTGAAAAATGCTAGTCAACCTAGTAAACACAAATTGGTTTAGAATTGGTCAGTATTTAGTTGAAATGGGTCGAAAAATGGATAAAACGTTTAGCGATTTATTTTTGACTAAAAATCGAGGCTTGATTTGAAATGTATATTTCAAGCTTTTATATATATACGTTTACTAAACGTCGATCTAACGTTTAGAATATCGACTTATATTAGTCAATATTGTAAACCTTTAATCGACCTTAATTTAATGTAAATATTTACAGATTTAAAATCTACGCTTTAAACTCTTAATACATACGTTTATTAAACTTCGATCAAACCACGGTTAGCACGGATCCTTATAATGCCTACCTAGCTGTCCCAAAAACGCCACTTATACGGAAAGTTAGCGTACACATCAAGGTAACCTGTCATGCAAATTTTGAAAACGCTTAGTTTTGTTCGCGGAAAATAATTTAATTTGAATGTTCAAATTAAGTCAAATTTTGACTTCATAGTGCGCCAATAAAAACACTTGTAGAATTTGAACCACTCAATATAATTTGATAAAAATTAGTGCAAATGTAGCCAATAGTCACACCAAACTCTGGACAAAATTTCAGCCTGATTGGATGACTGGTGTAAGATTCATTGCAGTTTTAGTTGATGTTTTGTCAGTTTTTTGCTACTTATACCTCAAAGCGTTACCGATTACTTTGAAATTTGGTCACTATTTTTAAAATAACGGTTACATGAGTGTTCTACTATGTAATACTAACAATTTTTGATATAATTATTTTATCGGTACATGTACAGTTTTCATTTTATAAACCAAAATAGTGATTTGCTATAAGCCAATTCAAATTACTAAAGCGTGATTTGAATTGGCTTATGCCAATGGCGTTGACACGGCCTTCAAAGTGGAAGGGGGTCAACCCTGTCAATAATGTTAAGGGAAAACATTCAATCTTTAGCAGCAAAAGATGCCAAATCATCCGAACAAATCGCATCTCGAGTTATTTCCAATAAAGAATTGTCTCCGGAAAGAACTATTCTACTGGCTAAAGCATCTGGCAGGCCTCCACTTACAGTTATCCCTGGTAAATATTTATACTTAAATAATATTAACATACATATTGAAATAAAGCCTTGACTATTAAGAAATAACACTAGATAGATTTCAAGAAGTATATTTTTGACAAGTTTCTAATTTCTTTAAAAACGAATAATTTGAAAGTTTTTCACAAACTTACAAAACAAAGTTTATTGTAACTATAAATTATGTATGTTTTGGTTTTAGGTCAAAGTAGTGCGTAGACACCATCAAGTGCTCTAAAATTGACCACTGTAGACCTTGAAATGTGCAATTAAATACGGGCCTGTCAAACAGCGGATTAGAGAAACTTGTTAGAATTATAAACAAAACATCAAGCACCAAGATGGTAGAGCGAAATTTCTACATGAATTTTCTAAAACTAGGTCAACAATTGAGCAATTTCTTCACCTGCAGTGGCTTAAAAATCACAGACGAAAAAACGGATTCTTATACAGTTCATGTTGTTGCTCAGTGCAATGATTTATTAAGTCTTGTGAATCATGTTATTCAGTCCCACAAAATTACTGATGGCTATTTTGTTAAGCTTGGAATTAATGGTGGCAAAGTTTTTCATTTAACTGAGTCCGTATCACGGGGGCCAGTTTGAGAGAAATGAGTGCAGAAAACTTCTTAAAAATGTGGATATGCTGCAGCAACTTGCTGAGACAAACATGGTTCCCAATATTATGTGTATAATTGAAGCATTCAAAAGCTTTTTAGTTGTCAAGGCTTGCTTTGGATACATCCTTCAGCCGGATTTCGCTGAAAAAATTGAAAATTTCAAAAAGTGTTATCTAATGATAACTGGTTCATACGTAACACCCAAAATTCACGCCGTCTTCTACCACATTAAGGATTTCATCAGTCACAAAAGATTTTCCTTGGGGTCCTATAGTGAACAAGCTGTCAAAACTTCTCATCAAGATTTTTATAAACATCGGTCGAGGTATAAGCGAAATAATAATCATCCAGAGTACAAAGAAAGATTGTTGCGCTGCATAATTGATCTAAACAGTAAGCATCTTTAAAGAACATTATTTGAGTTATTAAAAAATAGGCTGCTGAAATTCATATTTTACTGCTGAAATTCATATTCTACTTATAAAGATGGTGAAAATAATGAATATTTTCACCATCTTTATAAGTAGTATTATAGAGAATTTGTATTAAAAGAGTACATTGAGCTATTTAATAATAATCTTTTGGTGGAGAAAATCAAAAAGACATTTCTTAAAATATAATTAGGTATTTGATAGTAATACAATGTAAAAAATAGGGTTTAAATGGTTTTCACTTCATTTTAAAAGTAAATGTATTTAAGGAGGTCAAAACAAAATATTTTAGGAGATCTACTTTTTTTTTTTGTTTTACTAACAGGTAGTCCTTTGACCAGGTTTTGCACTTTTTTTTAGCTTTTTTTTGGCAGCAGTTTATACCTTAGGAAATGTTGGTATTTTCAAGCAAAGCATACATGGCCGTCAACGCCGGGGAGGCTAGGGGGTCATGTCCTTCTCTACTTTTTTTTTCGCGAGGACCTTTTGTTTTAGAAATATAGGCAATTATTATTAATTGCCTATATTTCTAAAACAAAACACGGCCTTCAAAGTGGAAGGGGTTCAACCCCTCAATTTCTTAAAGAAAATCCATAATTTCTATTATGGATTTTCTTTAAGAAATTGAGGAGTTGACCCCTTCCACTTTGAAGGCCGTGTCAACGCCGTTGGCATAAGCCAATTCAAATCACGCTTTAGTAATTTGAATTGGCTTATAGCAAATCACTATTTTGATTTTATCACTTTTTACTAATTGGTATATTGATCATGAGTTGACATGATCAATATTGGCATTAATGGTATATTGATCATGAGTTACAATAAGTATTTAGCAATTACAAGTTTTCTAACAGTTACAGTTATTACTGAGTTCATTAGTTTTATTTGAAAAGCATTAGCAATGCCGGTTGTGTCCATTGTATCAATTTGGTCTATAAAATGAAAACTGTACATGTACCGATAAAATAATTATAACAAAAATTGTTGGTATTACATAGTAGAACGCTCATGTAACCGTTCTTTTAAAAATAGTAACCGAATTTCAAAGTAATCGGTAACGCTTTGAGGTATAAGTAGCAAAAAACTGACAAAACATCAACTAAAACTGCAATAAATCTTACACCAGTCATCCAATCAGGCTGAAATTTTGTCCAGAGTTTGGTGTGACTATTGGCTACATTTGCACTAATTTTTATCAAATTATATTGAGTGGTTCAAATTCTACAAGTGTTTTTATTGGCGCACTATGAAGTCAAAATTTGACTTAATTTGAACATTCAAATTAAATTATTTTCCGCGAACAAAACTAAACGTTTTCAAAATTTGCATGACAGGTTACCTTGATGTGTACGCTAACTTTCCGTGTAAGTGGCGTTCATGGGACAGCTAGGTAGGCATTATAAGGATTCGTGCTAACTGTGAAACGTTTACAATATTGACTAATATAAGTCGTTATTCTAAACGTTTGATCGACGTTTAATAAACGTTTGTTATATTATAATATAGTAATATTATATATATATATATATATATATATATATATATATATATTATATATATATATATATATATATATATATATATATATATATATATATATATATATATATATATATATATATATATATATATATATATATATATATATATATATATATATGGTAAAAATATTCACGTAACAGCTTAAGTCACGCGGTAAAGTAAATAGGCATAATTAAAACGAAATAAAAAACTTATTTTTTATTTGTTAGATAATTAAATTAGATTTCACTTCCTTAAACAACTGAAAGCAAAACGACTGGTAAATAAATAATAAACGAGTGTCGGGTGCGCCATTTTAATTCATGGTAGTTATAGCGACAATCTACCTTCCTAAATGCCGACAAATCAATGGACTCAGATGTTTTAAAAATTATTGATGGCGATATTGACTCAGTTAAAAAAATATGAGTTGCTGGTCTCTCGTTGTAAAAGTCTTGCTTCAAGAACTTTTTTCGTAAGTTTTATAAACAGTTTAAATTCATTTTGTAAACTCTCGTATGATTGTGTAACAGTAGGTGTTTATATTTGCAATAATCAAAAGGTTTAATAACTAAATATTTATTTTTATTTTAGATGCATTTTAGCTAATTTAGTTAAATTTGCTAAAGAAAATTGGTGGAACAGAGCTGGTAAAAACCACTGCATATGTTATGTCGCAACGTTACTAATTTTTTAATGTCAAAAATAAATATGGATGGTACTGGAAATTTCGGAAACTTCCATTCAGAATATCCTCTATATGTAAAGTTGTTCAGTGTAATTCCACTTTTGATTTATGAAAAAACATTTAAAATGCTATTTTACCTTTTTTTTGCGGTTACAAATCAGGTTACGAAATTAGACGATCAGGATACGAATGTAGAAGATGAAAAAGCGGTAGACGGTTTTTTTGGAAGATTTTTGATAATGCATAAACCAGAGAAAACAGTGATCCAATTTATTTGTTTATGAGTTTATTAATTTTATTAATAATCTTTGACTTAATCTTAATGTAAACTTTTATTTTCTGCTAATGTAGTTATAAAAATATTTAATAGAAATAGTTACTATAAAATTTCCACTGCAAAAAGCTTGATCATTAAATTTTTTTTTAATTTTTGAAACATAAAGAAGTATAGTGCACAAACATTTTTTCTCTAAATCCCCACTATATGAAAACGTTTTATATAAGTTTATAACTTTATATATAGCTTTATAAAATAAAAGTCTAGTATAAGAAGTATAGTATAAAAGTTTATAAACATATTATAATAGTTAAAAAATAATAAAAAATAGGACTAGGTCTTTTATAACTATATCTTATTTATAAATTTCAAGACCTATATAGCTTTTATTACTTATATAAAGTTAAAAAGTTATAACGTAATTTTAACTACAATTTAACGTAATTTTAACTACAATTTAACGTAATTTTAACTTATATAAGTTTTAAAACTTAAATAAATTGAAATTACGTTAACTTAATCAAAGAAACTATTAAACAAGATCTAAAAGTTTAGTATACGTTTACTTAGACTAAAACTAAACATTTTATATACGTTAATTAGACTAGTAAATTAGACAAAATCTAAACGCTTTATATACGTATAATAATCCTATAATAGTTGTCTAAAATACGTTTGAATATAGGCGTTTTATAGACGTTTGTTCTAAACTTTAATTTGGATTTTTAACAACGTTTGCTGTATAGTTACAAATTGATTACATAATCTACCCTTACGTCGTCTTCGATTATTAGTTTTTGATTTCCGTGGAGCAGCTTTAGGATACGGATGACTTTGTTGTGGAGTAACATGATTAGGCAGTTTTTGGTCAATATTCCACATAAGGTGAAATATTGACCAAAAGTTGCAATAATCAAAAGGTTTAATAACTAAATATTTATTTTTTTATTTTAGATGCATTTTAGCTTAACTTAGTTAAATTTGCTAAAGAAAATAAAAACTGTTGGGTGAAAAGGTTTACACTCAAACTGAAATAGCTTTAAAGTTTGGTGTAATTCAGAAAACAGTAAGCAGAAAAAAAATGTGTTGATAATCAAGAGCTATAGGAGCACCACAGAGTAGGAAGTTTTGGTCGTAAAAGAAAAACTACCCCAAGGACACAAAGAAATCTGGTTAAAATGGTACTTAATAATAGAAGAGCCACATCTTAGGTGTTGTGTCAGCAACTTAATGAAGCAGGAGTCGATGTTTCTCCAGTTACTGTTCGGAGAAGGCTTTTTGAAAGAGGTTTGAAAAGTCGTCGTCCACAAAAAAAACAAAAGATTACACCAATGATGGCTAAAAAGAGGCTAGAATGGGCTAAAATTCATAAAAACATGTCTCTCTATGACGGAATAAGGTAAAATACGTGCAAAAATTGTATTCAATTGAGAGTTTTCACTTAATATTTGGTATCAAAATTTATTTTAAATATGAGATGAATTCTGAAAAAATTTAGGCTACTTTTTTTTTCTAAAGAATCTCTCAAATTTGATCTGCAATTTTTTGCAAAGTGTTTCTATGTACTCATTTGTATATTTATTATATCCAGAATGTTTTAGCGACGAACCCATCTTTTTGGTGGTAGAAAATCAGAGCCAATATGTTCGAAGAAGAGCAGGAGAAGAGTTCAAGGCAGAGTGTGTTAGCCAGAATTTCAAGCATCCAACGTCTGTTATGGTGTGGAGTGTGATATCAATACACGGACCGGGAATGTTGTACATCGTAGAAGATACCATGAATCATGTGCAATATATTAAAGAGCTACAAAATAGGTTAATGTCCCAAATTAAGACATTATTTCCAAAGGGAGATGTAATTTTATTGCACGATGGGGCTCCGTGTTATAAAGCAAAAAAAGTGTCAGAATTTTTTCAGCAGAGCAGAATCAAGTCATTGCTGTGGTCAGGAAATAGTACCGACATGAATTCCATTGAAAATTTGTGAGCTATTTTCAAGAAAAAGATCAAGAAAGAAACAATTACCACCAAAGTGCAACATCAAAAAACTGATACAAATATGGCATCAAGACCAAGAGAGCAAAAATATTTGTAAAACTTTGGTAGAAAGCATGCCGAACCGTATTATAATATGCTTATTAAAGACAAGGGGCTCCATACCAAGTATTAATTAAGTTTTTTTTTTTATATTTAAAAATAAAAAAATAAAAAGAAAAAGAAAAATAATAATAAAAAAAATTTAGTTTAATAATTTGAACACGTCTGTACTCTTTAGTTTAGCTACAGTTTTTATACACATTCACTTGGGAATTCCTTCATGTAGAATTAATCTACAAATGGTGTTGCAATCTTTAGTAATTGTGCAAATAGAAATTTACAAAACTTTCTTAATTGTTCATTGTTATTTTTATTTTATTAAAGCATCAGAAAAGACTTTAAACAATGTCCGAAATGTCCAAAGTTTCCCCATAAGGGGTATATTGAAAAAATTAAGAGTATTATTACAAGCTCATATATAAATTACAATTACTTGCATTCCCAACGTCCACAGGTTACCGCTTGTTTTATAAAAATTGCACCAACTATGGTAACTATGGTAACTATGATAGAGTTTATAACTAGGATCTGGATGATTCACTTGGAGTTGCAAATTTTACATCAAAAAACCAAAAAAACGTTTTTTCACTCTAAAACCTATTTTTTATCTGGAAACTTCCACCTCACTATTTTAAAGCTAAGAGCATATGTCTAGCAACATATCGACTATAGACAACATTGTCCAAATGTTAACAGGGTCGGAGATTTTGAACTATCCATTCTGTACTCATGTTCGAAGTCTCCCCGGTCTCCCCTAAGTTTAAAGTATCTTTTATTTGATTTATTAGCAAAGGTTATGGGTTTATTTTTTTATCAATATACAATTTGATACGATACATATGGGTTTATTTGCTTATCAATATGCACTTTAGTTTTAGAACCAATAATTTTGGCGGAAATTAGTTATTTTTTAAATCAAAAGAAAAAATTTTTATGTCTTTTTTAAATCTTAGCCAAGTATTATTTATTTTATATGTTTGATCAATCAAACAACTTTTAAGACCAAATTTGTATCACAAAGAAACGTAACTAAAAAACTCAATAAACCAACTCTCCTTTATACTATTATGAATTTAATTAAAATGACAGCTTATTTTATTTTGATTAAATTGATGGGTTCTTTACCGAGTCATTTTTGTAATCATATTTATTAGTTTATCACGTATATTTTTTTGTGTGATAATATTTCTCTGTGAAGTCTTCTATTTTTAATATTTATTTCATAACTTTATTGTAAAATTAAATTTTTTGAAAATGTAATAATAATATTTCGAAACATGTCAAGAATAAAAAATATCGTGTTATTTTTGAAAATATTTAGTTATTTTATACAACTGTGACATTCAAGATTTTAAAATAACCTTGAGAGTTATATCATTTAAAACTTATTAAAATAAAAAGTTTTAACAGTAAAATAAATGTTGAATATCTTTAAATAGACATTGAAACGACACTTTCTTATTCAAAGATTGCTCTTAAAATAATTGCACCAATATATTATGAACTTATCGTTTCATTGATGGATCGATTCCAAACCATTATGACACGTTAAAGCGCTACATAGGCACGAACAGCCAACAATGTAATAAAAACTTGTTAGTTAATATATAAAGACCTAAATTAAGGTACACTGTTAGCATTGTAAATCAGTGAATCTAGTGAACGTCAATGAAATGTTTACTTACGCCTTTGTAACCGAAGATGTTGAGAACTTTAAAAAATGTAGCCGAAATAATTTTATGAATAGGGGAAAGTTGGGTTATGAATAGGGGAAAGTTGGCCCCGGACACTTAAAGAAAATATAGATTGTACTCATGTACTAACAGAAAACAAAGTGTCAAAAGAATTTTTTAAAAGTATAAATATTTATCTATCGAATAAGAAACGAAAAAATAATTATTGTGTTCCTTAATAATATACAAAACATAAAAGAAAAACTGTTAGAAAAAGGCATGTTTCAAAATTGGAGGGTAGCCTCGGACACATTGTTTATCCATGATTTTACCTCTTTTTTACTAGTTTGATACAAATGTAATATATAATAATTTAGCATTGGACTGTTCTCAACACATTTAAAAAAAAATCGCTTTTCAAAGTTGTCTCTGATATATAAGTAATGGGAATGAAAATGTCATCATTTAGAAATAAAAGATTAGCTTTTTATTAATAAAAATAAACACTTTAAAAACACTTTTTTCAAATCTTTTTTCTTTTTATCGGAATTAATTGAATTATGGGTTTGTGTATTACATTAAATGTATTATTATTTTTATAAAAAAGTTGCAAATTTGTTTATATCTTTATTTTACTTTATTTAGGTGTCGCAAGAAGTCTTAGTTAAGAAGAAGAGTTAGAATTTGAAACACGATTCCTTTATTTCTGAGCCAAGTGCGCTACCACTGCGCCACGGCTGCTCTTTTTTATTTTTAATATGTAAATGGATTAAGTTGTCCTGAACCACCCTCCAAACATGTGCCCGATACCACCCAATCACACCTCTTTCACAAATACTAGTTTTAAAACCAGTGAATTCATGTTTTAGTCAAAAAAAAAATTTAATAACTATTGTAAATAAAAATGTTTTATCAATAATAAGTTATTAGTTTACATAAAAATTAGGTATATTAATATGTGAGTCAAATATGATGATAGGGGAAAGCGGGGCAACATGGCGAACGTTTTGAAAGCCTTGAGTTATTGCAAAACTATCAGTCGTGCACGGCAGTTTCAAATTAACCTTTTGCCAGATAAAGACGCCATTATAAACGCGTTGCATTTTGGGATCGCCTGGAAGCAAACAAACTTAATCAATATATAATTCTATGCGAATATCCAGCGATTATTGCATTAGCCTAGATTATTATTCTTATTTATTGGTTTTAATATGGTTTTTACTTCAGTAGATTTGTCAAAATGGAAAATAGATGAGTTAAAAACGTATTTATTATCAAGAGGTGTCCCACTTGGTTCAGGAAGTGCACGATAAGCACTTTTTATAGAAAAAGTTATTATAGCAGAAGCTTTAAGCC